TCTTGGAGGCAGCTTATAATTGGTTACTTTCGTAAAAATCTAATCCTACATCCTCTGGCTTTTAATTTGTAGTCTAGAGCATTTACATTTAATGTGATTATTCATATGGTTGGAGTTAAATCTACCACCTTCTATTTGTTCTCTATTTGCCTCTTTTATGCTTCCTTTCCTTCTTTTTCTGTGTTCTTTAAAATTATTTTTATGATTTCATTTTTATTGCTTTGGTAGTTTTTACCATTTGCTTTAGAGTCTACATCTTTTTCTTCCTATAGTCTACTTTCAAATTATTTATTCCTGACTCTTCCTTCCCATCCCCAGCCATTTTGCCTTTGTTCCGTAGTTGTCAAATCATGTGATTGTCACCTATGTTACAACTCTCCAACATTATATTATTGTATTCATTTTGAACTGTTAATTGTTTTGTTTTGTTTTGTTTTGGTACCAGGGATCAAACTCGGGTCCTTGTGCTTGTGAGGAAGGCAGCGGAACCACTGAGCTAAATCCCCAGCCCTTAGAATTCTTTTTTAATCTTCATTTTTGAAACATTTCTTTTTGTTTTCCTCATTGAGTTTATTGGTACATTTTAGGTATACAGTATAGTTACATTCATTATTGGGATCTTGTACCTTTACATGACAGGTCTTGGTTCTCATTTTTTCCCCTTGTCCCTGCCCTCCCTTCACTCCCTCCTCCCCTCCCCATTTACAAACACTTTATTTCCATTTTTTCATTTTCTCATATTTTTTTCTTTTCCCTTATTACCTTTCCCCTACCCTTCCCACCTCCCCTACACCTTTAGCCCTTTTCTTCCTATTTCACATTGTCAATTATACCATTTGGATCTTATGTACTATTATAGTTTTTCACACCAGAGAAACTATTTGGTATTTACACATGTGTGACTTATTTATTTCACTTAGGAATATATCCTTAAAATGTATCCATTTTCCTATGAATGAATTTAATTTCTCATTCTTTATGGCTGAGTAGTATTCCATTTTATAGAAAAACCATATCTTCTTTATTCAGTTTCCAACTGATGGGCAAATGGGCTGTTTCCAAGTTTTAGCTGTTACAAACTGTGCCGCTATAAACATAGGTGTGCGTGTATCACTGTGATGTGATTCTTTTCATTCTTTTGGAAAGATACCCAGCAGAGGGATGGCTGGGTCAAATGGAACCTCTAAACTTAGTTCTTTAAGGTATCTCCATGTTGATTTCCATAGTAGTGGCACCAGTCTGCACTCCCACCAACAATGGAGAAGGATTCCTTTCTCCCCACAACCCTGCCAATATTTGTTATTGGTTGATTTCTTGATAGCAGCCATTCTTTGTGGGATGAGGTGGAATCTCAGTGTTGTTTTCATCTGCATCTCTTGAATGACCAGTGATGTGGAACATTTTTTCATATATTTACTTGCTGCTTTTACTTCTTTGTCTGAGAAATGTCTGTTCATTTCAGATGCCCATTTTTGAATTGGGTCTTTATGTTTGGGAGTGCTGATTGTTTTGAGTTCTTTATATATTCTAGATAATAGTCCTTTGTCTGAGGAGCAGCTGGTAAAAATTTTTTCCCACATTGTAGGTTGTCTCTTAGTTCTGTTGATGGTTTCTTTTGCAGTGCAGAATCTCTTAAATAAAATGAGATCCCAGTTGTTCATTCTTTTGGTTCCCGTGCTACTGAAGATTTGTTCATAAAATCTTTTCCTATGCCAATGTCTTCAAGAGTTCTGCCTAACATCTTCCAGCAAGTTTAGTGTTTCTGTTTTAACATTTAGATCTTTAATCCACTTGGATTTTAATTTAGTGCATGGTGAGAAATAAGGGTCTAGTTTTAATCTGTGGCAGGGTGAGATCCAGTTTTTCCAACACCATTTATTAAAGAGGCTATCTTTCCTCGACTGAGGATAGTCAGCTCCTTTGTCAAAGATGACGTAGTTGAGTACATGTGGATTTGTTTTTGGGTCTTACCATCTCTGTTCCACTGATCCTCAGGTCTGTTTCTTTGCCAGTATCATGCTGTTTTTATCACAGTGGCTTTGTGGTATAGTTTCAAATTGGGAATTATTACACCCGCTGCCATGTCTCTGTTGCCTAGGATGGCTTTTGCTATTCTAGGTCTCTTGTGGTTCCAAATGAATTTTTGGATTCTTTTTTCTAGTTCTGTGAAATACAGTGTTTGAATTTCAATTGGCATTGCATTGAATGTGTATAGCAGTTTTGGTAGTTTAAAACATTCTGAGTGTAGAGTTCCAGAGAGACAGTATCCCTCAAATCCCATTCTGTATTTGAATATTACTTTTCCACTGTCTTCTAGCTGGCATTGTTTCTGACAAGAATTCTCTACCATTTCTATCTCTGTTCTTTGATATATATGTTTTTTCTTTAATTTCTTTTAAGGTATTCTCTCACTTGTTTAAAGAATTTTATTTTCCTGTGTCTTGTTTTCATTCATTTTTCTTGGATTTGGGGGTTTGGGAGATTTTTAGATCATTAGATTTATAGTTTTCATTAAGTTTGGAAAATTTTAACATTATTTCTGTAATTTTGTCTCCTCTATCATGCTGGAAATATAATTACAATTGAGTTTGTCTCACAGGTGACTGTTCTTTGTTCATTTTTTCACTGTTTTTCTCTTGGTTTTAGATTTTCAATAGTTTAAATATTTAAACTGATAATTGTAGCTAAATCTACAAATTCACTAATCTTGGCTGTATATGGTGAAAAAATTTACTTTTTTTTATCTAACCAGTAACATTGAAAAAAATTAAACTCTGACACATTTAGTTTTATAGTAGGATGTTTTTCATTTCACTTTGCATATTATATTGTATTTTGGTAACTTAAAGTATAATTGCAGTTCTCACTGATTTAATTAGATAGTAGTATTCAGCCTTTATTCCTTTCTATTTTCTCTTTAGTTGAGCTTTGAGACAAAACAATTCTTTGGTTACCTTGTTTCATAGGTCTTTGTATACACAGTACTGTGAGTGTTGTCTTGTCAGTATTACTAGATTTAAATCCATACGTTGATGGTAGACACAACTTCTCCAGACAGGAGAGAGTCAGGGTGATATGTCTCTCTGAAAGAGCCAGAATAGAGACAGTTTTGGGTAAGTTGCTAAATGTATATTCTTTTAGGGTTTAACAGTGACTTGCAAAAGAGTCTCTGGATGACCTCCATCTGAAGAGACAGGCAATGTTCACTTAGCTAGGAAATGCCACATCTAGACCAAGTTTTCATGTCAGAGCCTAGAGGTCTCGAGGCACTCAGTCTACTAAGACAAGTCCTAGGACCCACGGGAGTGAGCTAAATGTGTTAGGGTTGGCTGCCTATGTGTTATAAAACTATTTTTAGTTCCTCCCTGTGGTAGCTCTTTGCTTTCCCTCTTCTTTGGTACTTAATACTGTCTTGAGATTGTTAGCTTTTCTGTATACTTGTCTGTGGAAACTAAAGGAAAATAGTTTAATTCCTATTGGTAGCATTACTGAAGGGAAGGAAACCCATGAAGAAGGCAAATTTCAGGGAAGAGGAGTAGCTTGGTTGGCTACATTTCATACCTAGAGGAAACACTTTCTTTCAGAGGTGAACTTTGGAGGGTCTTCACTGTGTTTATGTGGGCATGGAAGTAAATTCCCAAAACTAGTCTTCTTACTGTACCTGTCCCTTCCCATGCCCCCAGGAGCGTGTGTTCTCTCTCATTCTTATACGCCCTGGATCTGTAATGGTTGACAACTAGTGACTAAGAGGTCAATTGAAAGAAACTTTAAGGATTTTTCTCACACAAAGAGACAATTGCATTTCAAGTGAGCACTCCTAAAGATTAAACAGTGTTCTCTGTTTTAGGAATTAATATTTAATGGCAGTGTTTTGATAGAAGGAAGACTACTGGGGACTTAGAATCGTACCCAACACTGATTGAGTGGTTTCTACTGTGCCTACAGGTTTTTATATTTACGCACATCTCTCTTAGTCCAATCTGTTTTTTTAAAATGTGCTGTTCAAAGGTAAAAATTCAGATAGTTATTTTGGGAAAATTTTATCTGTACCTCCCAAGATAATTATCCATTTAAAGTCTGAAAAAATAATTAGCTATGTATTTGTGTGAAAAGCATCTATAGAATATTATTGTTTGTCAATGGATTAAAGCTTAGATGAAAGGACTGTGAGATATGTACTTGAGTTGGACTCCACGACGGTTTGTAAAGCTTGGTCCACGAGACGGGCAATTTGTGAGTTCCGAAACCAACGCAATAATTATGTGCAAGTTGCACGTTCTTAGATGTTTTGAAAAGAGTATGATATTTAACTGTATCTACCTTACTATGTTTCAGAGAAGACATAGAGGACAAAATGAGTAGATTTTAGAACTGTTCTCTAAGATGCAATACATGAGACCTTTATTTTCTAATTGCATTGACACTTGACTCCTTTGGAGGGATTCTCATATAAGAGAAACCATGCATTATTTAAGCTCGTGTGGCTACTTTACTTCACTTAACGTTATGGTCTCAAGGTGTATCAGTTTTCCTACCATGACTTTATGGCAGGAGCAGTACCTCATTGTGTGTAAATATCATATTTTCTTCATCCATTTATCTCTTGATGAACTTATAGGCTGTTTCCAATATTTACTTATTAGGAGTAGGGCTGCTATACACTTGAGTATGTGTGGATTGCTGTAATATGATGCCTTTAACTCTTTTGGGAAGATACCTAGAAGGCAAATAACTGGGTGGAATGAAGTGGCTACGTTTGGTGTTTCGAGGACTCTCTATACTTATTTTCACAGTAGCTGTACTGGTTCGCACTCCCACCAACAATGGAGCAGGGTTCCTTTTCCCCCTCAGACTCATCAGCATTGGTTATTATTTGATTTCTTGCTAACGGCCGTTCTTTCTGGGGCAAGATGGAGTGTCCCTGTTGCTTTAATTCGCATTTCTCGCATAGCCAGTGATACTGAACATTTCTTCATGTATTTCCATTTTTTATCGTGCAGATATTCGGAGAGTGAGTACCTTCAGATGATCACAAGCATACAAAGCTGCCCATGGAGACGACAAGCAGAAGAATTTGAGAACTTCAGGTAACACAATTTTTCATAAATAATATGAATGAAAGAAATCTTTTGCTCACTTGCTTTTTAGAAAAATAGGTGACATATCATTAAAACAAAACTAGAATTAGAGGCCCACTGGCCATCGAAATTTTATGACCTGTATGTGAGATATATGGGATTCTATCTCAGTTCCTTTTACAGAAGTAAGTAATTTTGCTACTGGAATTAATGACAAAAATTGAAACTTGGAAAGAAAGTCTTTAAAATGTTTTTTATTGCATTTTGGAAGATGTCACTTATTTGTACCATTTATATTTGGAATCTATTTGTTTACTTTATAAATAAAATGGATGTAGAGAATGTTTGGAATACATAAAAGGGAGAAAAGCATCCATAATCCTATCACTCAAGAACAAAAGCTGTTTGTGCTTTTTTGCAAATTCTCTTCCAGTTTTTCATTAGCTTCTTCACGCAAGCAACATTCTGCTGTGTGAGTTGTTACACTCTAGGTAATAACCTACCGACAAGCCATCAACTCAGCAAATCAGCGTTCCAGGTGATCCCTGAAGAAATACTTGTCACAGGCACAGAGGCTGGTGTCAGTCAAACCCGCTATTCTGGAAGCTGAGGCAAGAGGATCACAAGTGTGAGGCCAACCTGGGCAATTTTGTGAGAAGTTGTGTCAAAATAAAAAATAAAGTAAAAAATGTTGAAGCTGTGACTCAGTGGCAGGGCACTTGTTCAGTACGTGCAAGATTCTGAGTCCGGTCTGTAGCACTGTCAAACAAAATGAGACAAAACAAACACACAAACAACAACGAAAGCTCTCGTAGGTAGAAATAACTCCTGTTAAAGTAATATGCTAGATGGATATTTATTTGGTGCCCCTTCCTCAGTACTTCCAAATATGACAGCTAGGTCAGTTGTCTCTGTGCTTGCCTGAGCTGGATTATTCTGGGTTCCATTTGTTTTGGTTTTGTTGCCACATTGTGATGCTTTCCTGTGCACCCCACTGAGGGGTTGAGCTGTGTTAAATTGTTTTGTTGTATTACAGTCAAGGGGTATGCGTCTAGCTTTACTTGTTCATATTTTCAGTCTTTAAAAATCTTACTAATGAGACTTAGCTTCCTTCTAAAATACTCTAGGAAGTCCTTGCTGCTTGGTTTTCCTTTCTGTGGGGAGCCAGATCTTCTTTGCGTGGAGCTGTGGCTCTGCCTGCCCCTCCTTCGTCAGTTTATGCTGGCGTGGTTAGAGAAACTGTCTCTGATTCTGCTATCAGTATGAAAGAAAGGTCAGCCTTTTGGGGTGAAAGAGTACCTTTCTGTTTGGGTCAAAATTAAAAGTAGATTTCTTCCCTACGTCGGGCAGACACGTGGATATCAAGTCATCCTGCATTCTGGCTGTCATTTCAGAGTGAGAGGCCAGGAAAGGGATTCATGATTAACTATTTCATATTTTCTGCTCCGCAATCCTATTCAAGACTGGACTTCAGAGACCCTAGTGGCAGGGAGACCCGGTAAAAAGTTTCACAATCATCACCTGAACTATCACAGGGCTAAGAGTGGCAGCACAGCCTGATTTTGAGAGAACTTCTTCCTGAGTAGGCAAAAAAGGAAGAAGTTAGTGAGCTATTGGGCAATTGTAAAGCCATCCAGCTGTAAAGACAGGTAAGTAGTGAGAGTAGAAATCAAAGCAGGATTAAGTTAATTTAGGACAAACCTCCTGAGGGTAAAGCAAACAAAACAAAGTACACTAAACCCCATTTGAAGGCACTGGGAAGCCACTGGCACAAGGAGAATTTACGGGACTGGGATCCGGAGGAAGAGGAAAGACTAGAGAGGCGAGCCCTGCGTTCGGGGCTTCACTTTCTCAGGAGGAACTTGCCTGGTGTACTTGTGAAGTCTTAGCAGCAAGGCTGAGCAGGGCTTCTGGCAAGCCCTGGAAAAGGCCAGTTCCCAAATCCTCAGTTGTATTTAGGAGAGCTGCCCCTAGTCTAATAGAAGCAAAAGTAAATCCTCTCTGGAAGAAAGTGACATTATTCAGAGATTTAAGTGATTTCTGCAACTTTTCTTAAACAATATCTGATTAAAAAATATTTTCTTTTCAAGAGCTTTTCCCTTTCTTTTTCTTCCTTTCTTCCTCTCTCCCTTCCTCCTTCCATCTCTTCCTCACTTTTCTATTTCCTCCCTTCCTCCTCCCTTCCAATTTCCTTCCTGCTATCCTTCTTTTTTTTCTCTCTTTCTTTTTGGTACCAGGGATTGAACTCAGGACCTTGCGCTTACAAAGCAGGCGCAGTGCCTTCCTTTCTTTTTTAAAAAATAAAAATCAGCAGTCTTTTGAAATCCAAATCTGCATGAGCATCTGTGCTGGAGACTACACTGGATAGGAGTCATATGACGGATGATACATTTCCCCTCAGTACCATCTCGGTATAAAGTGCATCGGTAACCATGACAATCACCCAATGGCCTATTCATCCCTAGGGCCAACTGAAGTAAACACCTGTGGCTATTACCACTTAAGATTTGCTGTCGCTCAAGAGAATAGTCATGGTGACGTTTATTTCTTTTCTTGAATATGTACTATATTATAATATTTGTTTCATAGATACTCTGTATTTGTAAGCTAACTTGCATAAACCCACAACAGAAGTCTGGCAATTAAATCCTAATTAATCATCCACTTTCCTAAATTTTTACTAATACAGCTGGCCAAGTCTGAGAGTCTCTGCCTATTTATAAAACTAGTATTATAGAAACATCCTCTGTTGTTATAGATGTCAAGTAGCTAAAGAGCTTTCTCTTTTTATTTATAGTATTTTACATCAAATTGAAGGAAAGTAAAATGTGATCCTTGAAAAGCAATAATTTTAGCAGCCATTGCAAAAGTTACATTAAACTCTGATAACTAGGAGCAAAGTGAATATTTTCTAAATCCTTCTGCAACCCAGTTGTTGAAATTTGTTCTTAAATAAACATGCTACTTGCTAATAAAGGGGGTAAGATTTATTCATCAACGTATATTTGTTTAGGATTTATTATGTCAAAATGCCATAGAGCCCTTTAATTATAAAAAGAACACTGTGTATAAAAGAGAGGCTCAAAAAACAGTTATTAAATAAATGGATGCACAGAAAGTAAACAAGAAAAATGCAGCGTTTCTGTACTGACGTCAAAGAGTTTACCCATTGTCAGTTTGGAAAGACAGAAAGCAAAAGTATGAATATTGATGATTTACTGTCCAAATGAACGACTCGGAGAAATTCTGAGATATAGCATGTCAAGATCACTGTGGGGTATAATTTGATGAAACGTTTTTGTGGAAAGAGGCAAGACTTGAGCTGCAGCTCTGAGGACAGATAGAGCAGAGGGAGAAACCTATTTGAGAATAATGAGGTCAGGAATAAAAGGTGGTTAGTTTCAAGGCTAGGGCGGGTGGGAGCCATGAACTTGTACTACAGGGTAGTAGGGATAAAAGGAGGTGAGTGTGGATAGATGGGGAAGTTCTGTGATGCAGAGCGCTTTAATTATCAAAGCCTATAGGCATTTGGCAGATACTAGGAACACAGTAGAGATATTCCCAGCAAGAGAGTTCCTTGATGAATTTATCATTGTAGGGGAAGTCTTCAGCCAGCATAATGTTGTGTGAATTGGAGCGTTGGGAGGGAGGGAGCTTGTCATCTAAAGGAGTCGGGGTAGTTAGAGGCTGGTTGTAGAAATGACCATAGGAAATGAGAACCTAAGCCATCCATGCTTAGCTATGAAAATATCAAGGGAGTGAACCTTGGCCATGAGCTCTCTGGGGGAGGCCTGTCTTAATCTTTGCATCATCGTATAGATGGGACCCACGAAATGGTCACATGTCCAAAGACTCGATAGGACTTGGTTGTTTCATGACTTCCAGTTCTGTACTTAAAAAGAGAGGGGGAATAAGAAAAGAACACAGCCAAACGAGAAATCTTGGTTCTAGTTCATTGGAAGGATCATGATGCTACAGATAAATAACAAGGTTTCAAAGGGAAAATGCCTTTGAGAAGACAGCCCATTCTATTTGAGCTGACTCTGAGACACCTGGTCTGGGAACAACATAAATTTGTAGAGAAAACGGATTCCCCCCAGAAAGGAAAACAACTGTGTTTAAAGGTGTCTTAGGTAAGAAGTAGGACTCTAAAATCTGTGTTCTCAACAATTCTCTTTTGTGCCATGCAAGACTCTGTCCTGTTTTTATAGATTCGTAAGCTTCTTTTTATTCTGTATGGAACTGTGCATCTCAGATCTTTGAAGTCTCTAACTTCCCTGAGCCTTTACCTGGAAACATGAGAGCTTTGACTGGAAAGTTGTAAAATCCAAAGTCCATGCCAGAGCCTGATTAAATCCCTTGAGTTCCCGTACGGAATTTTGTAAATATTTCTGAGGAAGGGATCTATAAGGTTTACTAGGTTCTCAAGGCATCTAAGACACCCCAAATAAGCTCAAGCATTTCCAACCAAGGAATCTTCAGCATATGAAGCTCTGTATGCTTTGGGATGGAGATTCTTATTTAACCTTTCGTGTAAACATGGTCATGACCAGCCAAGGTATGGATTTGGCTCCCGTTTACACCCTCTCTCCTTCTGACATCCTAAGTTTCATCTGAGAATTGATATTTTGTTTAGTTTTATGAGGTTCTAATGGACCCTCATAAAAGGATTTCACTCAGAGGTAAAGATACCTTGCTCTTATTTTCTTTCTTTCTAATTTCACTTACATATAACTGTACAAACTCAACACTGCTGAGGTCTTTCTTTGCCTTCTGGTGCTTTTAAATGAATTTATTGATTTTCCTGTTAGAAGCACCACTCCCATCACTGTCCAGTACACAGAATAACTTGTGGAGCATCTGTCTGAGTTTCAATCTAACCAGTGATTTCTTTTCCCAGTTCTTCCCACTCATTTTTAGAAAGTGACCGCTAATCATTTGCTTGAGTGTGACACCCAGGTATTTGAGAATAAATCAAGATGCTTAACTTGAAATTAAACCTCATTCGA